GAAATCTTTGAAACGATAATTTGTTTTAGCATCAGTACCAATCACTAACCCTAAAATCCTTTAACACAGTACTGTCAACTAATTCAATAATCGCTGATCGCTCCATCTACCGTACATTTTTTTTATATATAAATGTATATTTTTATTTAAAGGTGCTTATGTTTGAAGATGAACCAAACCTTGAAGTTAATGTTATATTTAAAATATATTTTGTTTATAGAAAATTATTAACCTGACTCATTAAAGATCTGTTTTAAATCAGTTTTTTGCTGAAAGTACGTATGTAAATAATTATGAATCGAACATAAACTAACTTTGCTAAGGAACCAAGAACATTTATTTACATGAATGCCACTAATTAATATGCTAATAAATTTATCCAGATTAAACTTGCAGTTTCTGTGCTAGTAAATCACCGAAAGGCAGGCACAGTAATATTCGTATTTTCAGTGGAGAGAATAATGGAGATCCAACACTGGCTTGACGTCACATAAATAAACATTGTGGCAAACGGTGAACTTCAAACAACAAATAACCTCGTAAATGTTTCAATACCAGAGCGTTATTTGATGTTTAACAACTTTACGTGTATGCACTAGAATTATTTTTAGATCAGAGACTTAAGTTTCATGTTCGGATATTTATTATCAAGATTGCAATACGATTTTCTTAAATTTCTTATAAGTTTTTAGGCGATTTTTCGTAGATTTTCTGTCAAAATATAATTTTAGGACTTAATCACGGGTGCGTCTTAAAAGTGGCTCACCCCTATAAGTTTTTTATTTTTTTCAGATAAAACAACGAGATTTGGTATGTTAGTATATGACATAAATTAGGATTGATTGAGATATTCAATTGTTTTCCGTCACTTCCGGTTTCACCGGAAATGACTACAACTTTTGATTTTTAAATGGCACTCTCGGTATTTTTTTACTTTATTCGATTTATAATAAATAAATAAATAAATAAATAATGATTTTTATTGTATAAAGAGTAATATTACAAATATACAATATTACACAATAATTGGTAGGAGTTTGGCGTTAGCCACTCTTCCACTCCACCATAAAATAAAAGTAAATGATTCTGCACTTAGAATTCGAATTATAAAATAAATGCAAAAGAATAATTACAATAAAGAATATATTTTTTTTTAAACAGCTGATCATTAAAACGATTTTAAATTAATTTAATTAGTAGACAATAATGTATTATTTTTAATTAGCAAACAAACGATTTTTTATCTCAAATTTAAATCTTGAAAATGGTGAATCTAGTATATCTAGTATTGGGTTTAACAATAAAGGTGCCTTATAGAAAAACTACATTTAAATTTTGCACTAAATGCCGCGGGACTGTAAAAGTATTTAATCTAATATCTCTACTATGGATTTCTGATCTTTTTATAAGTACATTGTATAAATATGGAGGAACTTTGTATGTACAGACTTTATATAATAACATAATATAAAGGTATTGAAAACGTAAAGAGAGTCTAGGCTCATTCAATTTAATTAGGTGAGGAGTTACGTGCTCTCTATATTGTAGATCACAAACAAATCTCACCGATGCATTTTGTACTCTCTGTATTTTTGCTTGGTTGTAGTTTGTCAATAAAGTGCAATAAATCTGACTGCAATAGTCCCAATGTGGATATATCAGCGCCTTTATTAGGTGAAGTTTTGTCGCTTCATCCAACAAAAATTTCAGATTATACATGCCCTTCAATTTAAACATAGCTTGTTTGTATACTTTATTACAGTGATGTTCAGTCAGGCCGCTGTCTAGGTAAACTCCCAGGTTCTTGGCAACATCGACCCATTGGATCAGAGTACCACCAATAGGTAAATCAAAATTGGAAACAATAAAGTTTCTACTCCTCGCATTACCTACACAAAGTGCATGAGTTTTATTAGAATTTATTATTAGTGCATGGTTACTACACCATGTTTCGTAAGCAGCCAAATCGCTGTTCAAAATAGTAACAGAGTCCCCAGCATCTTCAATGGCAGTTTCCAGATATATCTGTACATCGTCAGCGTATATATGCATTTGACACTTATGAATCGCTGATGGCAAATCAAACGTGTATAATAAAAATAAGAGTGGTAATAATGACACTCTGAATAGAATGACATATCATATGTCAACTTTTGACATTTTCGCATAATATACTTTATTTGAAATTGTAACCTGCGGTTCATAACAACAATTTGACTCGAAATACCAAGTGTGTGGTATCAAATTATTCGTAGATTCTGAAAATTAACAAAAGTAATTTCTCATCAAATGAAACATTGTATATCACCCTCAAACAAATATAACACTAAAATGCTAATTAGTTTCTAACCTATCTTAATTAAAGTTGCGTTGGGGAATTTTTATGATGAAATTTATAGCTTCAGGTTTAGTGGGTTAAGTGTTCATTTAAACGATGTCATAAAAACATTCTCCTGGTAAAGTGCAAAGGTTAATTAAAGGTTTCTCGGGCCCTTGTTTATATCGTCGCTTCTTCGACGAAGACGAGCCTTGTTCCATCCAGATAAACTTAATCGATTTATAAGTTTGGGTGTTCGGTTTCTAAAAGCCTATAGAATTTATAAATGACGGAATTTGATTGGTTAAAAAAGGCAAATGTTTTTTTTTCCATAGCCACTTTTAAATTGCCTTATATCATAGACCTTTGAATAAGAAGACTAAGGAAGGAGCATATCAAAAATCTTAGGTACACCGCGATGGGCCTCAAATATGGCCGACTTAAATTCCGGTTTATCGGTGTCGTTCTAATTTTATTTAAAAAATGTAAAACTATGATGTAGGGTAGACGTGGGGTAGACTCAATAATTTGTTGTTTTATTTTACGTTGTGAATAAATGTTGGTAGTTATTAAAATTGTTATAAAAATATATAATTCTAATAAAAATAGATAAGTTATAATAAGTATTTATTAACACAAACATCCGATACGCTACTGAAGCAGGTAAGTCAAATTAACGTATCTAAACACAAAACATCCCCCTTTAGAACTTCGTCTGTCATGTTAAGAAATGAAAGTAAATAATAAAGCGCCTCTCGTGTTTGTTCGCACTCAAAAAATTTCAATTAATGCCTGTGTATATTTTTAATATATTTTTTTAAATTTTACATTTTTTTTTTTAATTGTAAAGTAATATATACATTTAAATGGAATTATTACATAACAATTATGTCAATTATAGGATTACAAGCTTGTTTTCTAACATTTTTTAAATAAAACGAATTATAAAATTTCAATATATGTATATTTATCGTAGTATGAAAAAAGTAAAATATAAAATGCTTACTTACATTGCAATAAAACTTCCACTTTTAGTTTTGCAATCCAAACGCAATATTTCTATTTCACAAATAAAAATATCCGACAACACTAAAATCACTGAAACTTCCGCGGCTGACAACGAAAACTGAAAAATATAACGGCACTTTTTGTTTTGGACCTGCATATTAACATTACGCTGTACTATTATGTCTTTGTTGTTGAAATAATATAAAATATCTAATTATAACTTGTAAATTTTAATATTTTAACATGATTTTAACTACTCTTGACAAAAATTTACTTTTTGTTATCAAGATGACATTTTAGACGGCAACTGACATATATGTCATAATATTTGAATCTGAAATATGTATGTAATATAATTTAAATTACTATAATGCAACTTTATACTAAGAAAACATTTATACATTCACAAAACACAACAAAGTCTAATAATATAGTTTGAAAATAATGAATATCGAATTAAAATTGAAAAAGTTAAGCGCGACCCCTTGTGTCAAAATTAGATGATTAGATTTTCGCAATTTTTACACCATTTGATGACCGGTGGCGCCTCTAGTGTTTGTTCGGGCGGTTGGTCTTTTACTCCCGCTTATGGCCATTAAAGAAAAAGTTCTAAAGGGGGATGTTTTGTGTATCTAAATTCTTTGACATCTAATCTTTGACAAGTAATAAATAAACGCTAAAATGCAAGAAAAATATATAATTTAGTTAATTTAAGTGAATTTCATAAATGATCGGTTTACTACACGTATGTATATTATATAGTCACTTACTAGCGAAAAGTTGTTCCATTATTTCACTCAATTTTTGCCGAGATCTACCGCACGCTACACAACCAACTATTTTAGAGTCTTTTTCGATAAATCGCGATAGTGTCACTGTTAATTTAAGTTCTGCCACAATTTCCATCTAGATTTACTACCTTTATACAACTATCAGTAGTAGAATAAATAATAAATAACATAAAATAAGCTCCGTAAAGACTGACAAATCCACAAAATTTCAAATCAAATTCAAATGTGTCAAATGAATCGTCAAACAGAACTGTCAAGGATCCCCACTCTAGAGAGCTTTTATGGTGGCTTTTCCGCCCACCATGCATGAATACATGGATAGCATTATGCTCCTTCCTTAGTCTTCTTTTTCAAAGTCATAGACAAACAAATAAAAAGAGACTGACAAATTCCATGGTAAAGAGTGGGACCACGTTCCCGTAGCGCAACTCAGAATAACAATTTTGAAAGCAATTAGCCGGACCATGGCAGGACGTACGTCTTTATTGCTACCTTTCTTTGTTATGTACGCTTTATATAAAAAAGAAAGAGATAGGTATAAAACGTATCGTAAGATTCGCACATTATCGCACATTCTGGCTGGCGGAAAATTTAAATTAGCCATTATTAGTAGTATTCTTTCATTCTGAAACTGAAAATTTTCACTTAAACTGATTTATTTCCTGTACCACAATATATCTAATTAAATGAAAAAACATACGCGCAGATCTTCATGACGTGGGGTGGCATGGCGTGGCGTGTGGCCTAATGGGGCCCCGGCTTTAATCCAAAACGTGTTTTCTATGGCTAATAATCCTGGTGATCGATGCCTTTGAAAAAAATATATTATATGCTAGTTTTATAACAAGTAATTTTTAATTATTTTTATGTTTTTTTTCTTTCAGAATAAGGATTTAGCGTGAGAGCCGTTCCCTGGCTACTGGATCAAACTGGCACACCAGTTCTGGATCTCTTACCCGCCACCGGGGGCGGGCAGCTCCTCCAGCTCCAAGGACAAGGAGAAAGAGAAGTTGGAGGACGAGAAAAAACCGCTGTCGAAGGAGCAGAGACAGCAGGAGTACGACGCTGCTATAAAGGTGAGAGCATATAGCTTCAGTGGATTGTACAGATAAAAATAAAACAAAACGTTCCTATCAAGAACAAAAAATATTTGTTCTTTTAAAGCATTAACCTTTGCATCAATTTTATAGAAAAAAATGGGTTTTATGTGTATACTAGGAAGTAATAAAAGCCGCAACTCGTGTTTATTGAGGTGATTATACATGAAGGTAATCCAACAGATTTTCATTCTTTGGAAGAGCAGTTTGACGCGGCAATTTGAGTTTTATGCTCGAGCCAAGGGCTCGAGCTTACAAAGATTTATAGTCCTATGGAATGGTTTATGTCCCATTGTCGATAGAACTATATTCTAGTAGCCTGCTTGCCACACGAATTTCATACCTGTTTAAAATACACCTGAATAAAAATACTAAAAAAGTAAGAGTCTAGTAATCAGAACGCAGAAAAATAAGTAATCTAGTAATATTTTTTAAATTCATGCACTCGAGAGAGAATCGTCAAATAAAACTGTCAAAAAATGTCATATATGTATACAAGAATCGCTTTTAAAACATCTTTCGACGTTGTGCGAAAATAGTAAAAAAATTCAGTCAGAGATACAGGTAAAATAAAACAAAAAGTTCCGATGAATATATGCCCTAATAGTTTAGTTCTCAAGACAATCTTCAGTCTTAGCCCCATGTAGAGATAACCTTTTATCTGTCAGGTATTACGGATTAAAAGACTAGGGTACACACTAGTAGTTTCATGGAGAAAGCAATGCTTTTATCATAGCCCCCATGCCCCCCCCCATTATGTTTGGCGAAATTAAAAAGGAAAAACATGGATTTCTACTACAAAAAATGTTATTTATTTATTTTTTAATTTTTGTTTTGTAAATTCTTTACTGTATTTTGTAAAATATTAGACATTTCTCAAATGTTATAATTTTAAAAGCTTCAAAATATATAAGCTAGCAATTTTTTTTTATTTATTCGCTACAAAAAAGTTATAAAAGTGGAAAAACGAATTTCTCTGGAACTACTGCAATGCAGCATCAGTTTCTTCATTCTCTGATTCATGAATGGTTATAAAAACGTCTCCAGTAATTAGATCGGTATAATGGAAAACTGCGAAAAACTACGATAATATTTCGTAGAACATTTAACAGGATGGGTAGGTATAGTTATAATGATATATGTAGTTAAGAAGTTTTTTTATTATTTAGTAGCTGTAAAATAAATTAAGATACAAAATTTTTTGAATAAAGTTTGATCAAACCAATCAAATTAAATTATTCAAACGATAATATTTTAATCTTAATTTTAAAGTCTTAAACAAGTGCAAATATTTTTAGGGGTGCTATACCGGATGTTTTTCAAATGTGGCTCACCCCAATAACTTTTTTAAGGTTAAAAAAAAGAGGCTTGGTGCGTTAGTATATGACAAAAATCAGGATCGATTGAGTTATTTAGTTGTTTTCTGTCAATTCCTGTTTCACCGGAAATGATTACAACTTTTGATTTTTAATTTTTTTATTTAATTAATTATTCTCGAAAGTCATTTTCGAGAAAAAAGCTTCTTTAATATAAATTAATGATTAGCCAAGTGAAATTTATAGTAAATTAAAAGGTGGAAAAGGAGGCCAAACTAACTAGTTTGGGTTTGCCAACTAATTTTCTTCCTTTTTCTACCTATTTTGCACATCCAATTACGGTTGTTTCTGGAGCAGATAGGATCGTTAGACGGTTCGCAGGTTTATAGATAGTTAATTATTGGCAGCAAATTATTCTGCAACAAATGCTGCAGGGTAGAGTGTATATTACTATGTATTAAACGGTTCTTAGAGTTTCAGTTTAATTAGTATTTTACAAAATTGAGGATAGTGTAAATTGATCTTAGGAAATTGATTATTTGTATGCGGAGAAAAATTTAATAAAAATATGTTAAAAAAATCTACCTTTTCAAATATAACTGAAGATTATAGAAATAATTTAAAATACAGGGTGGTCCGAATTGTATTCCGGAAATTTTAGAGCATATTCTGCAGATCAAAATTCGGACCACCCTGTATAGCAATACATATCACTACCATCGTGTGGTATTATTTGTCTGAGTCATGCATATTGTGACTGACCATCCCTCTTTTGTCTCTTATTCCCCCAGGAACACCACCGTTCCCAGCGGGAGCAGTGGGAGATCCGCCAGCTCGACAACGACCTGCTCCAGCAGCGCCAATCGGAGCGGGAGCGGGAACGGGAGCAAAAGGAACTGGCCGAGCAACGTCTGCTCCTCGTCGACGAACAGGATGAACTTAATCAGCAGCCGCCGTAAGTATTTTGTTAGTTCGATTGTTGTAGGATGTTGAATGTAGAATGTGCAGGGGGTGTCCCACTAAGAACAGCTCCCGGCTGTATCTCGGAAAGTATTAACCTAAAATTCTTCTTGGTCTCATTTTTTTTATAATAATCTTTATGTTTATTTTTTGCAAGGATGTATTTTAATTGAAAAAATATTTTCTACGCACTTTTTTACACTAAACAAAAATATAAGTTAGCTAAAACAGAAGATTTAAAAAAAATTAGTTTTTTTTTCATATTGTTCCACCACTTCAATAAATTCTAAAAAATTCCTGAGTATAAAGTAAGGTATAAAGGAGTATAAAAGACATTTTCTGACGATTTTTAATGGGTGACATCTTTCACAAAGGTTAAAAAAATGAAGATTTTAATTTTCTTTACTCCGCTAAAAATCGGCTTTTCGTTTAAGAATCTTGATCATATTATTTTTTCATGTCAAATCACCATTAATTAATTTTGAATTTTACTATAAAAATAAAAATAAAAGTGAAAAAACAGGTTTTTTTGAAAATCTCGAAACCCGTTTGAGTTAAAAAAACTAAAAATTTAGGTGAATTATTTTGACACCAAATCGATCCCTTGAGTGCGAGTCAAAAAAGCTGCGGAGGCATATTTCCTATATCCTTTCCTATCCGTATTGCCATCCCTGGCCGAAATCAATGCTCTGAAATTGTCGACATGATTTTGGCGTTACCTTACTTCCCGACTCTCTAGCTTGTTCGCTTTAATGTAATCTGATAACGCTATCCCGGAGATAAGACGGATTTTTCTTTTGTTAGAGCTGGAAAACATTGATAACTATAGCAGCACGGTTGGGGATAAAATGCGAGACCAGATGCACCAGATACGAACGGAAAATTATAAGCCTTCGCCAAAACGAGAAAAACGGGCCATTGTGTGCATTATGCTTTTACGAGCTAGCTGGGGCGAATGGATTCACGGCTGTAAAAATTGCAGAAAGTTTTGTTTGACAATGTTTTGTAGATTTTTTTCTATGATTATTTTGCTAGAGCGAGAGTGGAATAGTAAAATATAAACCGTTCTGGCTTGAAACAGGTATTAAAAAATGTTTAATGTATTATGCTTTTAACTTTCTATAATTAAAAGGGCATATATTTTTTTTTCATAGCAACTGTTAAAATTGCCTTATATCTATCAAAAATAGTAAATAAAATAGTACTTTAACCGCAAGAGTACATTAAATCAGGGCCGGAAAGTGAAATAGCAAAAGCGGTTCCACCGTTTCCACGGAAATTTCAAATAAAATAGTTCCAGGTGGTAGTGCACTTAATTTTTAGGTTAAGAAGTTGCTACTAGTTATTGCCAGATGGCGTTAAATCAGAATTTTTTTGTAGTTTCCATAGTTTCCAACGCCCATTGTCATATTATTGTCAAATTCTCAAAAAATATTGTCGTTGTCATAGCGCCAATCATAATATTATCAAATAAATGATTATCAAAATGTTTTTCAAACTATACTATAATTTGTTATATGTGTTTTAATTAGACAATTCCTTTTGTTTGTGGCCCTAAAAATATAATGTAAGTCTTTTATTTTTGCCATCATTTAAGTACCTATTTATATTTACTCCATTTACAAAACTTTGGGCGTATTACGTTGGTCTTGTTTTATTATAATAAACGATGTTTAAATATTTGACTTATAAATAAAAACTTTAAATAATAAATAATATTTCACATGTTTGGTTTTAATTTTATTTAATAATTCTATAAATTATACTGTTAAATCTTATTTTTTACACGTCACAACGATACTTGTTATTAGTATTGTTGAATTTGTGTAAAAAATAAGATTTAATAATCAAATTTAATTATTTTAGAGTAGAATTCAATAAATACGCTCATTTAAAAAGCCCGCGCTTCGATCCATTTAAAACAAGCCCTACTCAATAGATGGCGCCACTTCTGTAGGACCATTTTTCAGTATGGCAGAGTCCATTCTTTTTCTAGCTAGGTATATTCTTTGCATTAAATGATACTTTAACAACGAGGATAGGTTAAAAACTTTATTTCTTCTCGCACGTTTTTTAATTGCTTCTATTTTTGAAAATTTTTGTGATCCTTTTCATAAGTTACTCGGGATTTAAATGGCAGTAGTTCGGATATGGCGTTTGTCGCCTCAGCCTGAATATCTGTTGGTAATTTAGTTTGATTTACTTATTTCGTTTTGAGCCATTTCTGGCTCCAATTCAATCAGCAATCGACACGAAAGAAAATTAAAAAATATTCACTCAAAACTGACAACTAAAGAGACAGCTTTATTTTTTTGTCAAAGTACATAGAAACCAACGCCAACCCAGCACAATATTTTTTCTACTCGTAATAAATTCCTTCAAATAATAATTTCTGAATATTTTTTAAAACGTGACTCCCTATGGAAAAAAATACTGTGTTATGCACGACGATAAAAATGCATTATCGTATAACTATAAATAAATTGCGTTTTTTTTCTGTGACATATTACAGAGTTCTCATGGCAAGATATTTTGCAATTTTGGGAAACACTATCCATCAATTTTACTTACGTTATTTTTAATCAGTATTATATATGTATACAGAGTGTTTCAAAAAACATGTACCATCTTTCGTGGGGAGATTCCTCAGGTAATAATAAGATTTATTTTTTATATCCACATAGGTTCATTCTGTTTTGATTCGTAGCTACAGGTTATAATAACTTTTACCCTCAAAAAATTTCATTCAAATCTCTACTAGCACTTCGAAGAAAATTATAATAAATCGAAAAAAAAAAACGTTAACCTTCTGTAGCTACGAAACAAAGCAGATTCAGACCTATGTTGATACAACAAATAAATCTTATTTTTAGGTCATGAATCTCCCTACGAGGTATGGCATATGTTTTTTGAAACACCCTATACAGAATGAGTCTTAAATAAGTGCAAATATTCTTAGGGGTAGTATATTACGACCCCGGAAACACGATTATGATTTTTTTCGCGAACATTTCTTTTTTAAATTAAATTTACAAGAAAGTAAATCCAGAAAAGATCCAGTGATTCTCAAAATTTTAGCAAAAAATATTTTTTTTTAGAATTTTCGAAGTAAAATAACTCGGTTATTTTTGATTTATTTAAAAAACGGTAAAGAAAAAAATTATTTCTTTTACCGAGATCTACCAGCCCTGAAAAAAATTGCATTTATTTAAGACTGACCCTAATAAATGTATTTCCAGACATCCAGTTTTCCACTTCTTAAGAACTCTTCTCTAACATTGCTTCTGGTATCGAACGTAACATTTATCCTTTGACCAGCGCATTAGAGGCAATTTCACCGAAGGAAATGGGAAAAACGAGACCCAATTTGCAGGCAAATTTCGCGTGCTTCCTCTTTGCGATGCACTCCCTACGAAAATCGGAAGTTATTCCGACAAATAAATCCAAATCCAACCAGACAAAATCGATTGGTTCACGATTTGGGGCTAGTTAGATGCTATCGGAGTTCTCAAAGAGGGTTTAGCTGGTTTTGAAGCAGCTTGAGAAAACCGTAATACTTAATCTAAATAAATAGAGCAAAGTTGGGTATGTTATATGATTTAAAACTCAAGAAGGGCTAGACCGATTTTAATGATCTTTAATTTGTTGGATTCCTCTCCGGTCCTAAAAGCAGAATAAGAGCGCTTTCACACACGCCGGCAAAATCGGTGCCGGTGTCGGTCCTGAAATCGATTGCAATATAAATAAATTAGCTCCTTCGCATATACTCCGATCCGGTAAAATATTCGGGGACCGGCAAATCCAATAGAATTAAATACAACTGTCGGAACGGGTGCAAAGCCGGCGCCGACTCCGGCACCGATTTTTCCTGTGTGTGTGCAAGCGCTCTAACTATTAAAACATCGAAAAAAATTCACGGATTTAAAAAAAAAAATAAATAAACTAGGTTTGGAAGTCCGCTATCTTCCGCAATGACAGCTCACGTCGGTCGCGTACGTTTATACCCTATTTGTAATAACTGATGTCCACTGCAAGTCAGTGATATACTAGACATTATAGATTCGAAATTCAATGGAAAATAGTGGTAAAATAGCATATTCAAATCTAGAAAGGTATTGAAATATACCGTGCTGGCAACTGTTACTTTTGGGTCGGTATTTACATGTGTGGAAGTAAATCGCATAGGGATCTTATTAAGTCGGAGTGAGAGAAATGCGACGGTGTAAAGACAGTAAAGTAAAATCACGATCGCAAACCGCTTATTTTTAAAAGATTTCTTTTCGAAAAGATAGGTTTCGAGATATTAAGAAGAGAAGAAAGATAGATTTCGAGATTTTTGAATTCAGAGTTCTAATAGCGTAACCACTCTCGAACACCAACTCAATTCCACTTATTTTTACCAAAAATGCAAGTGTTTCTAACTTGCACTTAATATTTCATCATACCTTTGGCAACGTGTTTACTGTTCTCTCTTTGTCGGTACATTAATAAACGCATTGTACTCTTCTTTCATGCGGAAATCTTGACCCAAGACTAACCTTTGCGAGCCCTTAGTATGTAACTTATATACCTACAACAGTGTTTTTTTTAAACTAAGCACTACATAATTACTATATCAAAAAAATTATTATAATCTGTCTAACGAAAGGCAGAATCACAGGTAAAATGTATTTGTCGAAATCTCTGCTGACTCTTTGGACAGACTATATCTAATTTCGAATAATACTTATTAATTAATTTTTATTCTTATTTTCAGTAAGAAATCTCCACTTACAAAAGAAAGGTAAGTGTAAATATTGCGTTATTTTAAAACAATTTTTATACTGGGTGAGTCTTAAATAAGTGCAAATATTTTTAGAGCTGGTAGATCTCTATAAAGAAATATATTTTCTCTTTGTGGTTTTTCAAGTTCTTTCGTATTTCAAGTTCAAAATAACCGAAATATTTTATTTTGAAAATTTAAAAAAAAAATTTTGCTGGATCTTTTCAGGCGTTTCTTTCCTGTAAGTTTAATCTACTACCTATGTTGCCATATTATGTTTTTTTAACTAAAAATTAAAAAAGAATCCAAGTTTTCCAAAAAAATGTTCCCAAAAAATACCTGACTGACGTGTTTCGGGGGTCAAAATATACTACCCCTAAAAATATTTGCACTTATTTAAGGCTCACCCTGTATATCTTAAAATTGCCTAGGTGTTTAGCCAGTGAAACTAAAATCGAAAATGCAAAAAAGTTATCTGAAAAATGCCGCTGGGTTAGAATTCAAACGAAAACCATCTTGTCAGTGGATTTGTACATAAACGTAAATAAATTTGCTTAATCCAAAAAAAACATTTAAATTTTTATAGGGTATATGTATTAGAAGTCGTTAGAAGAAAACATTAAATTATTTATTCATAATTCTTCACTATATGAGTCGCATTTCCTTAAACATTATTTTATTGTAATATTATTCTATTTTAAAGTGAGTATTAAATAAAGATAAACTAAAAATGAGGACTAAAAAGTTTACTGTAACTTAAATAACATTTTCTTTACTTGTAATATTTCCCGGAAATTCTATTATGACAAAATTTATTCCACGACCAGCTTAAAACACTTCCAAATCGAAAATTTAACGAGGTAATCAAAACGCGCGATAAATCGAAGGAAAAAGCTCATTTAATCACGCTTTACTAATATTAACGACCTCGAAGGACCAATCTATTTAATTTCTATGGCCCTCCCAAAGCCGCAACCGTAATTTTCTACCTTCAAAGTCAACCAGGCCTCGGTCGGTAGGCGATCTTCACAATGGACCATTTATAACGAAAAACTATTAGTGGGTTCGGTTTTGCCTCGGCCTTTCGTCATTATTTCCCAAAACGGAGGGTTTCAATCCGAAGACAAAAAAGGGGTTTCTACGACAGGTTTCTTTTTTGGACGATTTACTGTGCCGACATCGTCAAATCCCTAGGTTTTCGCCACTGGAAGAAAATCTACAAAATAAATATATATAGTTTTATTAGGAGTAAAAATGACACTCTTTGTGGTGAGGCTGTACGTTTGACATACAACCGAGGCACAAAATGTCATTTTTACTCCGAATAGAGGATGCTATTTTTTTTAAATGCCACAAATAAGTTTTTGAACAATTTCAAACGTTACAACATAGATAAATAAAACAAGTTTAGATTGGAAAGTGCCCATAAGGACAATGTAAATAAACACTATTTAGCGCTATTCTTGCAACGGTTGCGACCCAAAGCTTTTGCAAATTTCGGAGCGGTTCGGCTTTTTCCGGAATTATATCGCCAAATATTGTTCATTCAAATTTATTATTATTTTCTTTTAATTTTATAAATAAAATACAGTGTGTTGCATACAAGAAACTTTATTTTATATAATGACATGTATGAAATACCTATGAAACATTGGAAACCGACGTTATGCCACGATCCACGATTGTTTTTGCAGTTCACAACACAGTTTTTTAGTTTCTAATACCACTTTTTCTTAAATTAAACTTACAAGATAGCAATAATTATTAATTATTTCTGTTATTGTTTACAGTTGTTCTTAGCAACCGCTATAGCAGCGCCAGATCGTGTACAACGGTCGCGACCCAAAACAATTGTATATTTTGACGGGCTTACCAATCTAAATTTATTTCCTTTATTTATGCGTTTACTCTGGTAGAGACGGTTTTAAGTTCTGAATAATCGTCTATTGTTGCTTTAATTGATCTTGGTAAAGTTCAACTTTTGAACCTAAAACCATATCTGTTAGAGTAACTGCCCAACAGACAATGATATATGATTTTTCAAAAACATTACATAAATTATAACCACTATTTTATAGATCTGTTGATTAGGACCAAAAGCAAAGGCATGGTTTTAATGTAAAAAATATGTGTGTATTGTTAGTGTCTTTTTCAAAAGTGAATATTTTCAAAAAAAAGTAAAGCTATTGAGATGAAGAGAAAGGATACACCTAGATCGAAAATTAATTTTTAAATTCTTTGCTTTGTTAACGTACTCCAAAGGGTGTTTCAAACTTTTACCAATATATCAATATTTTGTTTTTCCTCGCATCATTGACAGATGGTAGTTTCCTTTTTTTAAATAAAAAAAATACTAGAAAGTCAAATAATTTAACAACAAATTGCTTAAAAAATCATCAAAATCGGTTAGGTTAGGTAAAAACAATATACAAAATTTTAAAATACATGATATATGATTTATGCTTGCTAAAACATCTTTCGGTTTATATTTTATGTGGTAAAATACCAGTTTAAATTATTTGTTAATTAAATTTTAGATTTTCTACATTGTTAAAGACCAACATGAATATATTACTCGGCTTTTATACCGTATACTAATATATTTCGTATACACAATATGAAAGTTGGAAACGGGAATTATCACATTAGCGACATTATTAATGGATTTATTAAGATAAACGACTTTCAGACGTTAATTGGACATGATCGCGTGTCAAAACACATTGAGACTATAAATATTTGTTTCCTGTTCGGTAAATAAGCGTATAGTAACAGCGCTAGTAAAACAATGCTATTGAAACATTAGGTGTATACTTATTTAGGTTAAAGTTTTTAAATATTTACAATTTTTCACAGTTACAAGAAATTTACAGAAAATATACAATAGATATAAAAAACGTTATTAAATATATTGTTTAAAAAAACAAATAAATGCGAATCACAATTTTTTAAATTATGAAAATATTTTATACAGACTATAACGTTAATTGTTCTCTAATAAAAAAAAATATTTTCAATATACGATTAAAAAACGCGAAAAAAAAAGAAACAATAAAAAATATAAAATAAAAAATGTATTTTTCATTATTTTTGAATACCTCTTTTTAAGGCTGCGGATTTGTTATAAAAAAGTTCGTAATAAAAAGGATGCTAAAAATAAAATTAAACGGTTTGATTTGACGTCTGTTCTTCCCTTTTATTGTGACAGATTTATTTTTAAAGGGACCGATTTCAATACGCTGTTGCCCTTGAACTGGAAGAACCTTTTAAGGGCGTTGCTTTCAGGGATTTATTTTTAGAAAGTATGAAAGTTTAAATATATTCCTGAGGGAGAATGAGACAGTAATATAAAATTGCGTTCTTTAAGTACTCTATTTATAATAAAATTTTTAAAGACGATAAAGTTTGGTTTTATAAAATATTATTTTTGGTAAAAAAAAATTTAAAAAGTCTTCACAGGAAAATATAAAGTTCTTCTAACTATTAAAACAATTTGAAGCTACATGCTTTTATTAATATTATAGGCCTAAATTTTTTATAGAATAATATTTTAATAAGATTAAAAAGAAAGCGTCTTACTTTATTGAGAGTTAGAAACATTTTATTATTCTAAGTTAAATGAATAAAAGTCTCTCATATACTAAACAGTTATGATAATTACATTTGGGTGATCTCACGAAAGCGTGGTATTTATAAACAAAACACGAGTAGCGGAAAAACGGGCCAAAAAACCCTACATGTGTGCTTATTCTCTGCATTAAGTTCATCAGACCGAAGGGAACAACCATTCGACGACCGGTTTCGGAGATTTATCTCCATCGTCAGGCCGACTTTGCTGTAACCCTCGATCTGACCAACGAAAAGCAGAGAATACCATTTGAGTACAAAACGTACTACTATGGCGAGAGTGCTAGACGCTCTACGCCATCTAGCGGCAGCTGTGACAATCACAGATCGTACCGCCAAAGTTAAAACCAGCGGCCTACTGGACAAACATGCTTGCTTCATCCACGTTACCGTAGATGGAGCTAAGGAGGCTTAGGTAGGGTATATATAAATAAACAAAATACGAGTAGCGGAAAAAGAGGTCAAAAAACCTTACATGTATGCTTATTCTCTGCATTAAGTTCATCAGACCGAAGGGAACAGCCATTCGACGACCGGTTTCGAAGATTTATCTCCATCGTCAGGCCGACTTTGCTGTAACCCTCATACAAGCTGTAACCCTCAAGCATACATGTAGGGTAATATGTAAAAATTAAAAAAAAAAACGATTAAAAAAAGTCGCTTTGACTAGGATTCGAACCTACCTTACTACGGCTCCAACATTAAAGCAGCGTAAAGTCCCTAACGCCTTAACCACGCGCCCACCGAGGACTTGAAAGATTCTATGTAAAATTCTTACTTAAAAGATAATGTTTAGTGAAAGTACTTTTTTATTTATAAACATTTATTTAATTCTCTTTTTAGTATTTGTTCTTATAGCGGCAACATAGATACATTATCTGTAAACATTTTAACTGTCTAGCTATAACTGTTCATAAGATAGACCTTTGTGACAGACGGACAGACGGACGGACGGACGAACAGCGAAGTCTTAGTAATAGGGTTCCCGTTTTTACCCTTTGGGTACGGAACCCTAACCCTAAAAACGTTCTTAGACTTTATTTTGTATTCATTATTTAGTCAAAATAAAAAAAAATAAAAATAGCTTTCAGTTGCACTGATAATATACTGTTCAGTTTCAATGCAAACGTGTTCTGACGCTCATTATTCGTTCAGCTTCGCCCAACTAGTCAAACTGCTTCAGTAAAACTGACAAATGAGTGAACTGACACCTGTAAATTATCTTACGTCCATTCTAATAAGGAAGTCATAAGTTTCAGCAAGTTCGAATGTTTGTTCTGTGTCAAAAGTTATTTTAGAGCTATCTAGTGACGCTTCGAGAAGCAATAAAAGCAAGATGCTGTGCAAAGGTAAACTGCAGTGCGGATTGGACGGCTGCTGTCGCTCTATCGAGG